TCTTGACAGTTCAAATAATACAGGATTCTACAGACCCAGAGATAAAAGTTCTTTCCCTTTACACACAGACCTGTTCTTGTCTCCTTCTCCTAAAACTGAACTAAAATGGAATAAACAAAGCTCATGGCAACAAATTATGCATATACACTACAATTTTGAAAACCCAAGTTTTCACACCCCATGGAATATCGTCTCGCACCCGCAGGGGCTGTGAGCACTCCTGGTTGGGAACCCCTGCCTTAGAATGTATATGTGTTCTTGTATGTTTCCATCTTGACTCTAGGTTTTTTGTTTCTTTTTTATATAATATTTTATTAATTTTCCAATTTTACATTTAAGTATTTAAAAAGCAACATGGTGGCTGGGTTAATCAATAGTTCGATAACAAAATCTTTAGTACAAATTTCAAGTTACAACATCAAATATTTCCTCTCTTTTTTTCTTAACATTTACTGTCTCGCATTTAAGCTAATACAATTCTTATTATATCAACTCAATAAAAACATCATTATTAGCTTATACGTATCTTAATTATTTTTTACATTCAATCTTCATAAACAATCCATATCCTGTTATTAATTTTTCCCCAGATTTTAGTTTCCCACCAATATTCCAATTTAATCTTTTATATTTATAATTTTCAGGTTTTAAGTAACCAAGATTTCCCTTAGCTCAATTCATAACAGAATCTAATGTCCAAAATACACATTTTATCTATTTGAATATAATCTTGTTTTATTTCCTAAACATTATCTATTTCCCACCATATTAAATCATCTACTTAATAATACAATATCCCCTTTAATAAATCAAAACCATTGTATATATTACCTGGGTTAATCAATGAATCAAAAATATTCATAATAATTATTTTTTTTCTTTTAGGTCTAATTTTTAAATATTAAACAGATAAAATCCTTATTTTCAACTACTTTCCAAATATTTTAAACCTAATGACCAGAATTCCCCTTATCTCAACTTCTCCCTTTAACCCTCTAATTAATAATATGAAATCCCCTCTAATAAATCAATACCCCAATTTTCTTCAATCTTATTCTGGCTTTCTTCCTTTGCCAAATAGGCTTCCAAATCAGTGCTTTTAGATCATCAAATAGATCTCCCTCTATTATTATATATGTTATTTGAAATAAAGGAGACCATTTAATTACCATTTTTTTGGAAGGACTAACCCATTTGTATTCGTATTGTCTCCCTATTATTCCAATTCCCCATAATTGCCCTGATATGTTTATCTTCCATTCAATCTGTTCTTCTTTCTCAAATTTCTTCTGCTTTATATAGAAAGTCTTTTCCATTTTCAGTGTTGTCAGTCCCTTTTCTGGATTTTCCATTGACTGTATTTGTTGGTCGATTGAGTCCTCTGTCTTAATATTTGATTGTTCCACTTCTTCTGTTATCTTCTGCATTATTAGTTCTTTGGTTGTAGTCAAAGTTTGGGTCTGTGTATCTAAGCTGGCGTCTTGATCTTTTATGTTAGGTCTTATTTTATCACAAGCTGAAAGAATGGTTTCATGTATTGTTTTCAACATGGAAAGGATCTTTTCCTTTTCTTCATCCATCTCTTTCACATGTTTATAGTGTTTATAGTAGAAGTCATTTGTCAAGCAAGATTGTATAGTCCAAGGTATTTCATCATCTCATATAGTAACCAATATTCCTCAAATAAAGAGATAGGAAAGCAATTCCCCACATATAACTCTGAAAGTCAGTAAGGGTTTACATTCACAGTTCAAATAGGCCAGTTATGCCACCCACCTGTTCTCTTACAGCTGAGTTTCTCACAGATGGTGCCAAGGTCAGGAGAGTCTTATCTAAGGTCTGGGCTTCTAGCCAAGTCTCTGTTAGGAAATAACAAGTTGTAATACCAAACCTCGCCACAAGATGTCACCAATGCCGTTTAAGGTTTTTTAAGTCCAAATTTTTTATAATTCTTTTTCCAATTTTATTTCTTTTTTGTAGATAAAAGCAAAAGTCTCCAATAAAAATAGGAAAAATTTTGGTCCCCAAGTTTCAGGAACATATAAATTCAATTAAATTAAAATTGTTCTTTTAATGCTTTAATTCCCATGGGCAGTCAGTCGCCGCTATTCTTAGAGGGTGGGATTGGGTTTTTTGTTTCTTGATAAATACTGCCCATAACAGAAAACCTCTTCTTTCCACACCCTCTCCATTGCTTTAGCATAGTTCTCAAACCTCCTCCTCCTTTGCCTAAAGATTCCCTTTCTCAAGCCAGCCCTGTTTCCATTCTTGATGAACACAGCAAAATACTCAAAAGCCTGACACATTCAACACAGTTTAAAACTGCCAACTCTTTCACTTCAACCAAGCCTGTTTTATTTTCTGTACACTTGAGAGATGGAACTACTGGAGGCAGCTGCAGCTCCGCTGAGTGCCAGAGTGGAGTAGAGTGCAGTTGAGAGAACAAAACAAAAAACACCACATCAGGCAAAGAAATTCTTCCACTTAGTATCATCATTACCACAAAGTTAATTTGCAAAAGTATTGCACTAGGCAGTCTAAGAGAGAGATTCAAAGGCATAAGAGAGGAGACAAAACCATTGCCTTTTGAAGTTTCATTTGTGTAGATCCGAAGATTGAAGACAATGGATTTTTAAAACTACTGAGAGCGATTGGAGCCTGGAAATGCACTGCTGTAGCTTGTCAAACCTTTATGGAGCCTACCTTTCCCAAAATGGCAATTTGTGAGGAACAAGGAGGCTTCAAATGTGGAAGTACTTGTTCATGGATGTTGTCTTTTCACGAGAGGATTATAGCTGGAGCTGTCATGTCCAATATCCAATTCTATGATGTTCATAGAAAAGTAGTCAAAATATTATTTGTGTTGGAATTATCACAACAGCTTTACTAGGAAAATGTCAGAGTAAATTAAATACTATAGATTATAGATTTAACTCTTGATAATTACTATTAAATATTGTTTTTAAATTGCTTTGTTAAAGCTATAATTTTATCTCAGCAATCATCAAATTCCTATTAAAATGAATATGGTTACTCCCATTCTACATTTGGCAAACTGAAGCAGAAAGATAACTTGTTAAAATCAGGGAGTGCATGTATATCTCTCCATCCACTCAGTTATATTAATTGGGAGAGTACAGATAATGTGTATTGCTATTGTGATTAATTCCAGAACTTTGTTTTATAATTGGTTTGCAAAACGTTTTTGACCCACAATCCTACAATGAAAAGGCCAGAATTATGATCTTTTTCTTGGCAGTGGCTTCTTGAGTTGATATTCAACATGAAGAACACAGATAAAAAGCATTCTAATATTCCTTTCCTGAGAACTGGTAACCTGAAATGACTTCCCTGTTTTGGCAAGAAAGGTTCTTTTGAAAGATTTTATTTATAACAAACTTCAATTTCTGGTATTGCTTTTTTATTTGATAAATTATTTATAACCAGTGATGTTTGTAGAAGTGGTTTGCTTTGGTTATATATTTCATTAAAATTACTCAGTTTTAGGTTATTGTTTAGAGTTTAGCTTATCCAGTCCCAGAGGCCTAAATGTGTTGCACAGATATGACTAATGTATGCATTCCTATAGCTTCAAGATACTTAATACTTCAGTGTTTAAGAATGCCAAATGATGCTTAGGCCTCGGGGAGAAAATAATTCCTTCTGAGCATTTAACAAGCCCCTATATTTTCACTTGTGTGAAATAGATGTCCTGTGAAGATGGCATCAGCAAGAAAATATTAAGTACTGACCTTAAGCACTGTCCCAAGAGGGAAAAAAAAGGGGGACACAAAACTTTTTGATAAAAAATCTCAAGGCATCTGATAAATTGAAAGCAAAGGTCTCAGGTATTCTTTTAATCTTTTGTTTTTCAGATTAAATAGACTTTTTAATTGTAAGATAATTTGTACCTTTTAGAAACCAAACATTGAATTCCTTACATCATAAACTGTTTTACAGCCTTGCGTATTTTAGCAATTCAATAAACCTCTTACAAATAATCCAGAAAGTCCAGTTGATGTCACTTTTGATCATTTGCACTGGGTAGCTCTTCCAGGGAACCTTTCACTATTAAGCAATCTAAAATCCTGGAGACACCAGAGACTGAACTAAGAATCCACAGTATGCAAAGAAATAACTTTTATTCTCTTCACCTTTCTTATAGGGATGTTTCATGTATGAAGTGCATATGGTAAAAATGTCCCTTCAAATTCAGCTGCTGCTCAATGGTAGTATGTATGTAATTTAAAACAAGGACAAGAGTCATCTACCAATAGTATAAGTGTGGAAGGAGTCACCAACAAGCAATGCTGAAAAGCTACTAAAATATGTAGGGGTGGGATTGCTTCAGAGCAGAGAACACAAACCCAGCCTCTCTTTGGAGCATCTTAAAGCGGCTATGCTACAAAATCCCCACATAAGATATAGCTACTTAAAGTGTTGCAGTAAATTTGAGCTTCCACACATCCTGAAACACTTCTGAGGAACCAAATCTAAAGTACTGCACAGCCCTAAAAAGAAACATCAAAATAGAAATTCATTTATTTTGCAGATCCTGCTGTTCTCTGTGAGCTGGTTTACACTGAAAAGCTGGTTGCTCCCCTAAATGCTAGTGCCAATTTAAACTACCATGGTTCATCTGGAAATTTCTCTGTTTCAGAAGAAGTACCCTTACAATCCAAATGATTGTCTTTAGCAGTGGTTGAATTCAAAATGTGTGACCAGGAAATAAACTCCACAGAAACTAGAGAAATTGCTTCTTCTAGAAAACATGTTTACATTTTTGACTTTTAAGGGTATATCTTGGATTTCCAATCCATATTAAAGGAAGCAGCTGGTGGATCAATTATGGGAGGAACTTTCTGTTCTTCATACAAAGAATATGGAAACTTTCTTATGGAAACCATATATACTTAATGCATACAGTTACTGGAAAACAGGATAACACAAATAATAGATTGCAAGCACAAGAAACCAGTAATATACACTTACTATATGTTAACTGTTTTAGCCATCCAGAATTTTTAATCTGATTACCACGTTATTTAAGAACATTAATAAACACAACAAAAGGAAAAAAAGTGTACTATTTTTTTTCTTAAGAATGATGGAAGCCATTTCCATATCAGTATTATATGTAAAACCCAAGTACTTGGATTCTTATTTTATATGGCTCTTCCACAGAACAAAAAATAATTGTTATGTACAATACTAAATTATTATCACATATATTTTCAGTATCATTATGAGGTTTGTTTTTTTAAAAAAAAAAAATCTAAATAGGTTTACCTGTAGGGAAAAATATTTGTGGCAGTTGTTGCAAGTGACTTGGCTTTTTAATGTACTTAACCTGCATATTTAGGATAGTAAAACACTCAAATTCACAGTCACATTAGAGAAAGGACATATTCTGTGGGCATTTGCCTTTCAAGTTGAATATGTAAGACAGCAAATATGACATAAAAGGTTCCAGTAATATACTTTTATGGAGAATAGGTTATTAAAAAAATTACTCAGCTGACCCCAAAAGTTACATATTATGAGCTACACAAAATCTAAAATGTCGGGACTTTTCACAGTACATTACACTAAATGAACATATAGTAGATTAAAAGATGTGAATTCAGAACGTCTGCTTAAAAATTTAAAGTTTCTGACATCATCTTCCACCATTCCATTAGCTCTTCCTTTTCCTCTTCTTTTCTTTCAGACAATGACTCCAAGTCAAAATCAACCTAGGAAGAGGAAGCAAACGTGAATTCTAATATTCTTATTTTGTAAGTGAAAAAATTGGATTTATTAGTTAAAACTGTACATATTCTAGACTAGAGGTCCCCAACCTTTTGGGCACCAGGGACCATTTCTGTGGAGAGAGGTTTTTACGTGGGCCGGAGAGTGTGTGGTTTTGTGTGCTGCCTGCATCCTGCGGATGGGGCTTTCCTTCTTTGTGCAGACCGGTTGCTGGCATGCCGCAGCCCGGTACTGGTCCACGGACCGGAGGTTGGGGACCCCTGTTCTAGACTTAGTCTATTTGCCCACTAGAGACTTACAACATTGTCTCAAATCACCCAGCCATTACTGAAAAGATGTACGTACGTACGTATGTGTGTATGGATGGATGGATGGACAGATAGATACAGTGATGGTGATTTTAGAAAATCTGCCTTAGAATAGATGAACTATTTAGTTACTCTTACTATTCATTGAATAAAATTATTGAGACGTAATTCAGATGTAGAGGGACTTAGGACCAGTAACCTTCTCCTGGGGTTACTTTATGAATTCAGACGTTAGTATATATAAAACGATTTTTATCACCCATTACGAAGACTCGTTTACATATTCCAAGAACATTCGTATGAAAAGGTATACTATAGTTAACTTTTTTTTAAAAAAAAATTCTTCTACCTTCAACACCTTCCTATTAAATCTTACTGAATTTGATCTCCCATGAAAATCTTACACTAAAGCAGGAATAGCTTTGGGATAAGGGCTGTAGGCTCTTCTTTTTGTATCTAGGATTTATTTTAGCAGAATAGAGAATTTAGAGAAAGGTTCCAATGCTTTTAGCTAACAACCTTTAAAAATAGGAATGAACTAAGGACCTTCTATAATGAAAACACCAAGCTAAGTAAAAACTAAGTTCTTCTAGTTTTCCATTCAAACCATATACAGTGGTGCTTAAAAGTTAGTGAACTCTTGATTTTTCATATTTCTGCATAAATATAACTTTAAAAATGAACTGTTCTCCCACCAAATCCTAAAACTAGATAAAGTGAACATATTTAAAGAAATGAGCAAAAACACTAGTTCATTTACTCATTGAGGAAAAGCTACATATGGATGCATGGCAAAAGTATGTGAACCTTTGCTTAGATCATGTGAAGTGATAGTACCATTTTATATTGCACTGGTAGGACCACACTTGGAATACTGCATCCAGTTTTGGTCACTACAATACAAAAAAGATGTTGAGACCCTAGGAAGACTGCAGAGAAGAGGAACAAAGATGATAAAGGGTCTGGAGGCTAAACCATATGATGAACAATTGAAGGAACTAAGTATGTTTGGTCTAGTGAAGAGAAGGTCTAGGGATGATATGATAGCAGTCTTCCAGTACTTAAGGGGCTATCATGAAGAAGAAGGAGTCAACCTATTCTCCAAAGCACATGATGGCAGGAGAAGTAATAGATGGAAGATCATTAAAAGGAGATCCAACCTCGAACTAAGGAGAAATTTTTTGATCTGGGAATAATTAATCAGTGCAAATGGCTTGCCTTCAGAAGTTCTGGTTGCTCCATTACTAGAAGTTTTCAAGAAGAGACGGGACAGCCATTTGTCTGGAATGGTATAGGACAGGGGTCTTCAAACTTGGCCCTGGCTGAGGAACTCTGGGAGTTGAAGTCCACAATTCATAAAAAGGCCAAGTTTGAAGACCTCTGGTATAGGGTCTTCTGCTTGAGCAGGGCATTATTCTATATTCTATTATTCTGCCCCCCAATAGATGAATAATAGCTGCAACTCAACATGTCTGAAAATTGTATGCTCACTTGGAGAAATTTTAGCCCATTTCTCCTTACAGAAGACTTTCAACTCAAGGATGTTGGTGGTTTCCTTGCATGATCTGCCCACTTCGGGTTCTTGCACAACATTTCTACGGTATTAAAGTAATTATCATATCTAGTTTTAGGATTTGTGTGGAGAACAAATCATGTTTTAGGATATGCTTATGCAGAAAAATTTAACATTCAGATGGGTTCACAAATTTTTAAGCACCACTGTACATGGTCTAGATTTGAAGGGCTGAGTTAGTTTTATATTGCTGTCTATGGGTATTATATGGCTCTTTCTTTCTCTCTCTTTTAATTAGAATTTTTCTTCTTTTGTCATGTTTGCTTTACCTTAATCACCATAGTATAAAAGCCTATTTTCTTTTGTTCACTGTGAAACCACTATTGTTTTTTTTTTCTTATGTTGTATTATATTTTGTTTGCTTGCATTTTGCTCTATCCCTTTCTGACTCTGACTTTATCTTCCACATAAGCAACAATGAAAATGTCTCACAGAGTTTGTGAGACTTGATGTACAAGATAAAACATTAAAAACCAACATTAAGATATGAATGGGCATTATAGGTTAAATGCAGAAATGGTACCGCTTACCCTAATAGCAGGACTGAAGGGAACAGCCACTTTTTTTGTGATTGCTAGATAGTCAGGTGCTGAGGCTGTCACTTTATAATTTCCTGGTACCAACAGCCTCCAGTAATCACCATCCTTTGCTAAGGAGACAGAAAGATGCCACTATTTTTAAAAAATACTTTAGGTACATGCTTAAGTGGTACTGAAACATGTTTGGTCTGGTTTGTTTTCTAATTAAAATCTCAAGATCCATTAACTCAGTGGTTCTCAACCTATGGGTCGCGACCCCATTTGGGGTCAATCGACCATTTCACAGGGGTCGCCAAGCAAGGCTGTCCGCCATTTTTTCCCCCTTTTCTGGCGGGTGCCTTGGGCTGGGCCAGCTGGTGGTCGGCCTGCTCCGTCTCTGGCGCTTGCCAGCTACGCCTCGGCCGGCGCAAGGGGCAGAACCACGCATGCGTGGTGCTCCCGGGCAGGGAAAGTCCTCGACATACGACCGGTCGGGTAGTCCTCAACTTACGACCGGTTTAGTCCTCGACGTACGACCGGTTTAGTCCTCGACTTACGACCGGTTGGGGGTCACGGCATTAAAAAGGTTGAGAACCACTGCATTAACTGGAGCCAAGTGCAAAATACAAGAGTGACTTTGGAAAGGGGAAGAAAAAGCCTGGAACACAGTATATTTTTGTTCTTTCCATCCTAAAGCATGAAAACATAAAACTTTGCATTATTTTAAGATATTCACAAGCATTAGTAATTTTGCTCATGAATGTCTTAAAATAATAAAAGGTTTTATGCTCCTTTTTTTCTGTAAATAGGAAACTGGATTAACAAGCAGGTGATAAGAGAAAGGGTTGCAATTTTGCAAATGTCAATTTTAATGTGGCAGATCTGACTGGCTGAGAGGAAGCAATTTTATCTGAATTCATCCAGTTCTGAAATAAAATTTAATTTTAATTTTCTTTTATATAGGAGTTCAGCACAAAATTTTCTCCACCCATTGGCCAACATTTGACAGATATCATCTCTTTTCATAAGAGGCCCCTAATCCTGAACATTTTGTCCATTAAAAGTAATTGTGAGTTTCCAATTATAGTTAAATGAAGGTGTAAAGATTTGAATTTCTGAACTGAGATTCAGATTTCGTCCTGAATGAAACAGGAAAATGGGCTCATTCTAGATAAGTCTAATGATGCTGTTTTTTAGTTCCAATGTTTATTTTAAAAACTTGAACACACATGTCACAAGTGGTGATGCCTATCCATTCACAAAGGAACATTTTGGCCATTAGAAGTTTCCCTCAATGGCAAAAAAGGCTAAGATTGCTTTTGCAATTATTCTTCTATTGATATCCTCTTTGCTTTCCAAAATCATATGCAAGGAATGCAGGACCATCAAGGATAGCATGGAAAGTTGCACAAGACAAGCAGTGAAAATCACTTCTTCCATCCTTCAGTAGTAGTGAGCACTAACACCCCACCCCCCCAGAAAATATAAAAGGATATTGCTATATTTATCCATGTATCAACATTCATCATCTGTCTCAATATACATATGAATACTTACCTGATGTAATGTCATGGTTTATCCCCTCTACAGAAATTGTGGCATTAGCAATGGGATTACCCTGAAGATCTCTAATAAATCCTTTTATTCCTCGATGTATCTTAAAAATAAAGCACAAAAAGTCTTGATATATCTCTAAATAATATACTTACAAAAGAGAAGAGAAGAAAGAATCTAGAACGTTTCACCACAATTAGCTTCCTGTTAAAGTTAGTAGATTCAATCTCAGAGAAAATGTTTGTACTGGATAATTACATTTCAGATCATTGTCAGTATAAACAATGTTGCTGGTAGACTAAATATAGAGCCTCTTCAAGCAATATTTTGCAAATTGTTGAATGCTTATTTCATTTTTAAAATCTCTATTATTTCCAGGAAGGAGGCAGGGGCAAACCACTTCTGAAATCTTGCAAAGAAAACCACAAGGACTGCTTCAAGTAGTTGTTAGGAGTCAACAGTGACTTAAGGCAGAGGTCCCTAACCTTTTGGGCACCAGGGACCAGTTTCGTAGAGAAAGGCTTTTCCGCAGACCAGAAGGTGAGTGGTTTTGTGCGCTGCCTGCATCCCGCGGATGGGGCTTTGCTTATTTGTGTGGACCGGTTGCTGGCATGCCGCGGACCAGTACCGGTACATGGAGCGGGGGTTGGGGACCCCTGACTTAAGGTACACCACCTCCTCCCTGTTTCAAATTTTACTCAAACTGATGAACTGATTACCAGATTCAGAACAAACCGCAAAATTAAAGTAACCTTAACTTGTGATTTTTTAAAAACATGGCCGAATTTGAAAGTGAGTTGATAAAACAAGAAGCTATCATTAAATAGAGACTTCCTCATTTAACTGCATTTTGTGCAAAGGGGATGTGTGTAGAAGCATAAAAGGTATTTTCCAATTTAGAACGTAAAATATAATGTGTAAATATGGCCATCAACACGAATAAATCCATTCTGTGGTTTAGTGGTTGGGGTGAGTTTTTAATCAATGGGTTCATTTGTCAAGCTTTGGACTCAACTGCTGAATGTCTGATTTCAAGAAATAGTCCTTCCTTATTCACAGAATTGGGAATTAGGTTCTCAAAGGGTTACTCTAATCTCATTTCAGAAGTCAATATATTTGCTTAGTTCTGATAAAGCTGTTATCCCAATCAATGGAATGATATAATTTTTAGCACTTATAAAACAACAAAAAGGAGGACTTACTTTTAGACCCTTTATCAATGTTTGATATAGTGGACATGTTGGTTTTCTTTTCTGGAATTTGTGCATCTCTGAATGTGTTTGTGTTTTTGCAGATGTTCCATATGCCTATATGTGTGTACTTGGAAGCCTGATATGGGCTACATATGACAATTCTGGATCATGTGATTAGAACAAGGCTTTAGAATACATCAGTAACTAGTTTCAAGTTGCTCCCAGATGCCTGTTCTATCAGAATGCACTGCGAAATTATCTTTTTCATAATCTTCAGCATGAGGCCTATTTTTAATCTCCACCTTTCTTTGGGCAGTTTCTCCTTCCATACCAAATCTATTCCTGTTCAATTTTCCGAAATATATCATGCTGAGAAACAAAAATTGAAGAATAAAAATTCTAGGTATGAGTTAAATACATGGTGGCACAATGAATCTTAATATAAATATAAAACTACCAGGTAGATAGTTTGTCTACTGAAAGAATATGTTTTCTGTGCTGATTAGTCCCTCATGAGCATTTCAGCTGTAGAACAATGAAGAAAGCAAATACATTATAAGAAATGTACAATGATTCTTGAGAGCTGGTTATTAGGTGCCATGAACTAAGAGGGCATGTTCCCAGAAGGGTCATCTTTGGGTTACAGAATGCATCTGGTTACTAAGACAAATTTAGGAGGTAGAACATGGTAACTGTCTATAAGAGCCAGATGGTTCTTACAGCTAGGTAAAGTGAAATCATATGTGATGTATACATGTAGGAAGTGCAACCTGTGTCATCAGAGTATAATATTAGGCACATGAAGATCTCTATACTGTATATTCAGTGTTTGCCTTCATAAGATTCCTGCTTGACCACAAGTCAGGTGCTATCAGGCACAAAGGATCAAGACCATACATTCAAAGCTTTAACACTTAAGCTTATACAAAGAACTTAGTCAACTAAAGTTCAATATTGAATTGGCACCACATAAGAGTCAATGGAATTCAAAAGGGGTTGGACTTGGACCATTTGTGGTAATGTAACAATTCTAAGCTGTTGACGCACTTAACTCCATCACCCAGCTCTGCCTGCTCCTTTCCTACAGGTGCTCCGTACAGTCCAAAACAATATCTAGTGAAGGCTACTAGAATTTGAAATAGGCTGCAGTGGGATAACTTTACCAGTTATAGCTTGATACACAATATTGGGGTTCAATATTAGGGTTAATATTAACTTTATTTGTATGTTCCTCAGATTATGGATAATACTAATAGTTAATATTTTATCTTTGTGAAGCACAATTTTGGCATGCACTTGTGAAAACTGAAGGCAAGGTTTAAATGAAAAATATGGTAATGGAGGATTCAATCTGGGTCAGTCACAAAGACCAGAGGTTTAGTCTTCCGAGCTTTCTGACTTGTGCCAGAGCCCCCATCCTCAGGGAACTTCTCTCTCATCAGAATGTGGTGAGTAAAATGGTAGTTTCATAGGGGCATGATTATTCTGTTAGACATAGGAAGCATTCTGTCTTTCCACAACTCAGCAGAATTACATGTTATTTGTTTCTATTGCAAGAGATGGAATAGCCCGGTTGGGAATAGCCCATGAGTCCTGGTGATACAGTGGTTAAAATAAATTTTTGCAGGCTAAGTCTGTCCACAGCCTGGATCTCGATTCTAACAAGGCTCAAGGTTGATTCAATCTTCCATCCTTCAAAATTTGGTAAAATAATGACCTAGACTCAGTGATGGGATTCAAATACCTGAACGACTGGTTCTCTGTGTGGAATCACGCCTGGGCCTCCAAGGCCTAGAATGGACTTCCAGAAGTGACATCCACACACTTTCTGTGGGCCGTTCTAGGCCTGGGAGGCCTCCTCCAGGCCTCCGAGGCCTAGAATGGACTTCCAGAAGTGACATACACGCACTTCCTGTGGGCTGTTCTAGGCCTGGGAGGCCTCCTCCAAGCCTCCGAGGCCTAGAATGGACTTTCAGAAGCAACGTGGGTTCAGCCGGTTCTCCAAACTCAACAACATTTAGCTACCAGTTCTCCCGAACCAGTGCGAACCGGCTGAATCCCACCACTGCCTAGACTGTAGGAAGTAATATGCAAATAATGCTTACATTGTAGATTATCCAGAGAGTATTGCAAATTGCTACGGGATGGTATATAAGTCTAAATGCTATTCCTATTGCTATTGCTAATATTAAACCCATACTGGCAGTGTTTAGATGTAGCAGGACACAGGTTCTTGCTAAACAACTTAAGGTTCCTCTTCCTGTTTCATTCTGAGTTACAGAATAACTGAGCACAAGTAAAGGTAGCTTGGTCCCAGCTTGTCACCAACCACAGCCTCCATTATGTCTGTAGTAGACAATTGGTATATACAGGGAATCTCAGAATCTCAAAATATTTTTAATAGCTGAAAATATACCCACTACAGAAAGTCCTATGAATGCATGCAAGTCTGCAAAATATATGTAAGTAGATGGCAATATTTAAGAATTTTAAAAAGCTCTTCAATTCAATCTGTTCTACTTCTTTTTCAAATTTCTTCTGATTTATATAGAAAGTTATTTCCGTTTTCAATGTTGTCACTTCCTTTTCTGGATTTTCCACCAAGTGTATTTGATGGTCAACTGAGTCCTCTGTCTTCATATTTTCTTGTCCCGCTTCTTCTGTTATCTTCTGCATTGTTGGTTCTTTTGTTGTAGTCAAAATTTGGCTTTGTGCATCTAAGCTGGCATCTTGATCTTTTATTTTAGGTCTTATTTTATCACAAGCTACAAGAATGCTTTCATGTATTGCTTTCAACATAGAAAGAGTCTTTTCCTGGTTTTCATCCATCTCTTTCACTTATTTGTAAATAGTCTTTCTAGTAAAAATTATTTGTTAAGCAAAAGTCAGTAAAGGTTTACAGTCACATTTCAAGTGGGCCAATTTTGCTGCCCAGCTGTTCTCTTACAGCTAAATCTTCTCACAGATGGTTCCAAGGTCAGGAAAGTCTTATCTAGGTCTGGGCTTTGAGCCAAGTCTGTTTTTAGGAAATAACAAATTGCAATACCAAGCTTCACCACATGATGTCACTAATGCCATTTAGAGTTTTTTAAATCCCAAATTTTTCTAATTCTTTTTCCAATTTTATTTCTTTTTTGTAGATAAAAACAAGAGTTTCCAATAGAAATAGGAAAATTTTTAGTCCCCAAGTTTCAGGAAAATATAAATCCAATTAGATTAAAGTTGTTCTTTTTAATGCTTTGATTCCCCTGGGTAGTCAGACGCCGCTATTCTTAGAGGGTGGGATAGAAATTCCCTCCCCTCTCTCCTCACAGAAGAAAGATACTTCAAACAGCCTTTACAGGAAAAGAAGGTACTTGGGGTAAAGAGAAGATCAGATCTCACCCAGTTACATCTGCATTACTTTCAAAGTACTTGATAGTAGATTTGACTTCGGCTGTCTGCAGCCTAATGACGAGCCATATTGCTATGGCCGGTCTTTTCTCCGACAGTTTGGAGGGCTGCCACGGATCGAGCGGGAGGGCTGCCACCCTCCCGTGATCAAGCAGGGGGCCCCTCCTTGCTCAGCGCCCTTACAGGGTGACTTTTCCAGGGTCCCCCAGCGAAGGAAAATCGGAAGTAGAAGACGGAGTTGCCTTCCAAGCGTTTGCAGCAAACATGGGAAACTGGAATAACAGGGAGACAATTTAACGAATACAAATGGGCTAGTCCTTCCAGAAAACTGGCAATCAAATGGTCTCCTTTAATTCAAACAACATATGTAAGAATAGAGGGAGATCTATTTGATGATTTAAAGGCGCTGATATGGAAGCCTATTTGGCAAAGAAAGAAAGCTAGCATAAGGTTGAAAAAACTGGGATTTTGACTCATTAGAGGGGATTTTATATTGCCAATTAGAGGGTTAAAGGGAGATGTTGAGATGAGGGGAATTTTGGTTATTAGATTTATAATATTTGGAAACTAGTTGAAAATAAGGATTTTATCAGCTTAATATTTAAAAATTGGACTTAAAAGGGAAAATAAAGTTAAATATTATGAATATGTTTGATTTATTGATTAAGCCAGGCAATATATATAGTGGTTTTGATTTATTAAAGGGGATATTGTGTTATTAAGTAGATGATTTAATATGATGGGAAATAGATAACTCTTAGGAAATAGAACAAGATTGTATTCAAATAGATAAGATATGTATTTTGGATATTATAGTTTGTTATGAAGTGAGATAAGGGAAATTTTGGTTACCCAAAGTCTGAAAATTATAAATATCAAAGATTAAATTGGAATATTAATAACAAATTAAAAAATGAGTAAAAATTAATAACAGAATATGGATTATTTATGAAGATTGAATGTAATTAAGATATATATAAGCTAAAAATCTATTGATAAATGTAATAATGATGTTCTTACTGAGTTGATATAATTAGAAATGTACTAACCTGAATATGATACAGTAAATGTTAAGGGAAAAAGAGAAGAAATACTCGATGTTGTAACCTGAGATTTGCACTAAGATTTTGTTATCGAACTATTGTAACTCAGTCACCACATTGCTTTTTAAATATTCAAATGTAAAATTGGAAAATTAATAAAATATTATATAAAAAAAGAATTTTAAAAAGCTAACCATTCGTGATATATCAAACTCTTCATACTTAAGTTTAATCTCTTGCAGCAAAAGTGAAATCTCTTTATGTTTCCAATGTACATAAACGTAAACGGAACAGATATTCTTCATTAGACACTGGCAATATTTTATTTGGCAAACTGGCAGTTTTTCCAATTGCATCACGGTCCCTCACAATAAACTGCCTTGCAGAATTCTCCTAGGTTTGGGATTAAACTGCATAATGTAATAAATCTTTTAATTTGAACTATTTTTCCAAAGTAGAAACTGAAGTCAGATACAAATAAAAAGTTCAAAATGATGTCTGTGAATCCTGATTTCAACCTTTAATTGATTTCTACTTCAAATCATCCCTAATTATGTATAATTATAGCCATATAAGGAAATGCTAACACTTGTTTCTCTCCTACCATATATATTTCAAAAACAAATTCATTGAGCTTAATGGGATCTAGCTTATGTGTAAATATGTATCATCCTGAGCTGTTCACTATGCTTTCCAGCAGTTCCTTAAATCTCAACATGAGGGATGTAATTGTAATATTTGGTCTTCAAATGCAACACTGAGTACCTGCCCTTTGCCACCGAGAAAAGGTTGGTTGGTTGGTTTTACTACAAGGACAGGAAACCTGTAGTGCTCATCTCCAACTCCTCTTTATTCAGACATCACTGTACTTTCTGACCTTGACTTCTGAAAATTGACAGGGCTTTCTTTACATTTTGTCATGGCTCAGGATTCAGATGACTCTGAATCTGACGAAGCCATTCCAGCTGAGCCAGCGGAATGTGAACCTCAGAAGACACCAAGCCATGAGTCACTTGAGATGGATCAAACACAGATATTATCAGAATAATTGGAACAGGTGATACAGCTTTCAAACCTTCAGATTGAGCAAGTAAAATAAAGATGCTCAGTGAGGCTCCTTGTCAAGCAAGGGAGTGACTGTCTTAATTAGAGGTCAGCTGGCTGCAGCCCGATTTAAGAGGTAGCCCTGTTTCTCTATTGGAAGTCCAATTTTCTGTGTCTGGCATATTGTTCCTGTATATTCTGCTCATACAAGAAACTCTGACCTTTGGACTGAGTAAAGAACCTGGCTTGATTCTCTGAACCTCTGAACTCTCTTCTGCATTTTCTTGTTTAAAAAGCAAAACTAGTTAGACAAGCTTTATTTCCAGGTGTTTATATTCATTTGCTTATCTCTACCATCTTAAGTAAATTGCTACCATCACCTAGCAACTGCATGTGTGTTTGAAACAGGACACGTTTGAAGGAATGAAGCTGTAGTTCAAGTGATGAAGCAATGAGCCATATGATCACCCAAAACTAAGTATAATACTTTACCGTCAACAAATGTTCTAACCTTATTCTCCAGGAAAAAATTACCTGCTCAATGTAGCTGATAAGTGAATTCTTGTTGTCCTCCCAATAGCTTTTCAGAGTTTCTTCTGGAGGGAATTTTTCACAGCTAAGCTCCACGGTGATTTCAAAGCAATTGCTGCTGAGATAGTTGAAGTCCTGCATACCTGTGTAATAGCACATACAAAAGTTGATATTTAATAGGCAGTATGTTCTAAAGCATATCAAATTAAAGTTAAGTGGAAATAGTTAGCTGGAATCAGTTGGAATAAATAGATGTGTACTGTAGAAAATTCAAAACTAATATTATAATATGTAAGGTCAGTGCTTTTTTTCTAAAAAAAAAAAAAAGGTGCCGGAACTCACACACGTCATACAACCCGCCTTGCCTACCCTACAAGGTTCCATCCAAAAAAGGTGCCGGAACTCCGTTCTGGGCGTTCTATGAGAAAAAAAGCCCTGTGTAAGGTATACGTATAATGGTCTATTTACAAGACCTTGAGGGCAGGTAAAGTTCTTGGACCAAACTCTGAAGTGTAATATAATGACTGATTTGCAATCACAGCTGTATGTAATTATCACATTTAATATTTCATTTGGTCTATATATTTTACTGATACATTTGGCTTCAAAAGTCCTATTTAGGAGTCAAAGAATTTCCAGATATAATTCAGTTGTTTCCAGGTAAAATGAGTTAATAACAGATAATAACATCATGACTGATGAAGCCCTGAAAACCAAGGATTTTGAAATGGACTATTTTTTTAAGTAGTGCAATTTCAAGAAACACAGTATATCAGTGCTAATTAAGAGATGGAGACTTACCCATGATAAAGTCATTGTTTAGTATATTTGACAATATAATAGTTGTTTATGTATGTTCATCAGTCAAAATCAATCAAGAATATTCCAACAAGTTTAAACAAAAATGAGGGTAGCATAATGAATCGATAATAAAAGACTTTTCTTGATCCTTTTCTGGATGGCTACTAATTGTATGTGTACAAAATAGCCTCTGTGTGTTGTAGTTTCCAGAGATGGTTTAGACCAGTGGTGGCGAACCTATGGCACGGGTGCCAGGGGCGGCACTCAGAGCCCTCTCTGGGGGCACGCGCACCGTCGCCCCAGTCCTAGGCCTTCAGCTGGGTTTTATAAAACCTTTTTGCTTTAGGCCTCCCCCGCCGTGTGCAAAAAAAAATAATTTCAACTTCTCGCGGGGAAAAAAAAATCTTGCAAAGTTGGAATTGATTGATTGAACTTTTTAGTCCCACCCAGTCTGCCGTTACCACCACAGCCATGCCCACCCAATGGGCCACACCCACCCAATTGGCTACACCCAGCCAATGGGCCATACCCACCCAGCACCCGACGATGCATAAGTGGGTTTTGGGTTGCAGTTTGGGCACTCGGTCTCTAAAAGGTTCGCCATCACTGGTTTAGACTGTCTATCATAGTCTTTGACGATTCCCTGATTATTATGGTATAAGCACATATATAAAGATGGCTGTATATCATCATGCTAGAAATCAGGGAAGGAAGGAAAGTGGGCTGGAATGTATTCCCCACCTACCAAGAATAATGATGACGAAACTAACAGATATATAAAATCTCTTAATTTCACCTGTAACATTTCTGAAATAATAAATCTTTGTATCTTCTTTTTTCCTGAATATAAATCATTTCAGTGGGTGGAAACAACTATTGTAATTTTTTTTTTTGCTTCACGTACAGAACAAACTAACATGAGTTCTGATTTATTTCCTATATATTACATTGCTTACACTAGTCAACGTGTCAAGAAGCATGAATTTATAGAACAAGGAACCATTTCGTAACATTGGAACAATATGTTAAAGGAAGAGGGAAAAACACAGATTTATCCATTCCTTTTTTTTCTTATAAGTAAAATCCATGGAATTGTAAAAAAAAAATGCTGTATTTAATGAATTAGATCATAAAATTTATCAAATGATAATTTGTTCCTTTATAATACGAAAAAGGTTGCATTTACAATAAATATTTTAAATAAAATATCAAACAAGGAATTAGTGTTATTATTTTGCCTTTTTAAATAGCCAAGAAAATGAGAATCTCGAAGTACAAATATAGTTTCTATCAATATTGGTAAGTCTTTTGTCTATTAACTGATTTGATAAATGTACCACATTGTTATGTGCTAATCTCTTTATTTTACAGAATGTGTATTCTTAATGCTGGTTAAGGGCCAAATGTTATTTACTAAATTAAAATGAATTTTAATATGAATTAGAAACTTTCACAGTTTTAAAGTTTCCAGTTCATATTAAAATCTCTCATCTCATTGGCTATCTAATTCTGTCTGACTTTAATAGGATTTAGTCAGACAGTCATCCTGGATAAACACATTGATTCTTCAAGATACTATTTCTATACTATCAGAAGATAAGAGTCTTTTAACTCTGTGTATAGAACACCAGAATAGAAATATTATTTATATTCAATGGAATACAAAATTATCCAGTCTAGACAACTTATTCATCATAATGGCAGTTTAACTAAGCATAAATCAGCCTGTTTTCCTATGTCTGGTTAAGTAAAAGGATCAGCATATATAAACAAAATAGCTGAATGTTGTTCTTCTGTTTAACTATTTTAGGATACAGACAACCAGCCTTTAGTCATATTTAGCCCACTCTTTCCAAATTTATATTTTCCAATTTTATGTATTTATATTTTATATATTTGCCACACTACTCCCTTTTTCTATAATTTTCCTTAGCTCCCTTCCATATTTGCCCTACATTTATACTAACTTTATATTGTAGCAGGAATGATCTCATCGCTTAGGCTACTTTAATGGAAGAAATAGCAATGCAGCCAACAGATAGAAGTAGACAGTATAATTGAAGTAGACAGTATAATTTCCACTGATTGCTAGTGCACTTATCACTTCATCATTTCATTTTTAAAAAATATGCCATTCAGAAAACATCATACTGAGCTGTGGGAACTATAGGAACAATAATGCTAACAGAATGTAAAGTTACCTCAGTCAGCAATTATATGCTCCTTGTTAATTTTAATTGTTTCCATAGTTCTCATTTTGTAAGCTACCCAGAGATGCTTTAATAGTGAGATGGGCTGCATATAAATTTAATAAATAAATAATAAGCAGATAGAATTTATGGAGATTTCTATCTTTCCATACAAAAACACAGAATATGAGTTTATTTAAGAATAACAAACACTGGTGACTAGCTAATAGGTCCCTGTCAATGCTAGTCAACAATGTATATGCATGCTAAGGCCTCCACTTAGTTACTAGCTGTTTATATACTACTGAAACACCACCACCTGGGAAAGCTCATTATGAAGGGCAAGTTTTGCCTAGATCATCCTGGAACAGAAAAGGGAACAATGTCACTAATAGCCTGTAAATCCTTCTGGCAAGAACTATATGAGTTCTATGATATTTGCAAGAATTAATTCATTATTTGCTCTACAAACATGTGCATTAATAAGTCATATTAGACTTAGATTTCTACTTTCAGCCCTACTCTGGCATACTGTAAAAATAAGATTAAAATGTTGCATTTCAACAACACAAACCTCCTGGAACGCTATACCAAGCACCACCATTAGTTGTCCCATCAATGAAACTGCTGTCATCATCATTCTTGCGACATGGTGGTCGATTTGGGTTTGACATGGCTGGATTAAAAGATGAATAGCTTCGGGCTAAGCTTTGGAAAATAGCGTCATCTGGGCAGGAGCTGTATTCATGTGCACTTCCTGGGGGAACAGTAGTAAAATACATAATAGAGGGTGGAAAGAAAAACAGAGAATGTAGGCCTACTTTAATTATCTGAATCTAGATCATTTAATATTCAAGATTATGCATGATAAAAGAGCTTCATATGAAGACCACTGGTGTTTATTTAGAACAGACACATCAGGATACATATTCTTCTTAATAAGCTGTTTCAGCAACATGAAAAAAACTGAAACAAAATTAGATTAACATATAATTTGTGAAAATAGTACTAAACTAAGTAAGAAGAATGGTATCTCGTCCTCATTATTATGCCCCTAAAACAGGGGTAGGCAACCTTGGCTCTTTTATGACTCATGGACTTTAACTCCCAGAATTCCTGAGCCAGCCATGCTGAGGGAAAGGGAGAGGTTTCCAAGCTGAGCCATGCTGGCTCATAAAGAGTCATAAAGAGCCAAGGTTGCCTACCCCTGCCCTAAAACCTACTCCAGAGTTCTGTTCCTCTCCTCTTCTATGGGCTCTTCCAGCCTTAAAAAGGAAAAAAGTTGTTTTGTCAGTTTAGAAAACTACAACATACTCTAAAAGGAAAAAAAAGCCTGCCTCTCTACTGATTAAAAAGAAAAAAATGTTTATTCTGAGAAGTCTGCAGTAACAGACAAAAAGAGAGGAAATTAAAACTTATAAATAGTACAAAAGATAAATTAATTACAATAATGGAAAGTTAAATTTAATCTGTCCAGGTTGGGAATGTGGTTCTCAGCACGCTATTCAGAATCCAGCACAGCCATCAAGCTGACCAAGGCTATTTGGCCTTAGATTTATAATACATACCAGTTCGAGTTTCGTCATATGGGTAATTTGCCACAAGGTCTCCACCGTGAAGATTGGCGGACAGTACAAAGGGAATATCCATTATCCAGTGAATCACACCTTTTGTTTCTGGTGCAAGCTATGACAGAAATTTATAAAAAATATAATTCATTAGACTATTGCAATAAGCACTGCATATTTTTTGTAGAACAAATTAAACAATGTCATCAGTTTCCAGAATTTTGCCCTGGGAGGCAAAATGGAATAAAATGGACTTGTTCCATATAGTATGTATTCAATATGTACTTTTACTGTATAATGTTTCAACAGAGTATCTGAATGCAATGCACAGATTAATTATTACTGAATGCAAATATAGGTATTATTTTTGTAATATGCACTTGCTATATGTCATGGTTCCAACAGATGAATCTCTTCAAAAGAACTTTGAGGCATTGTTTTCCTTAAAGAATATTTTATTCGAGAAACAAAGTAGCGGCACTACATAGTTGAAGCCAAAAACTGAATTCCCCTCCCCTGGCACAAAGTAGCAAAGCGCAATTCCCTCCTCCAATTAGCAGTCATAAATCACATTCCCTAATTAACTTGAAGCATGGGCTTTCTCCCCATCTTTCCTGCCTGCCAAATTTCTATCAACTCTGGACCTAATAACCTTGGGTTCCCATAGCTGAGTTATTATTGTTATGACTAGCTGGACTCTCATCCGCATTCCCTTCCCAGCGTCAACGAACTCTAAAAGCGATAGAGAAAAGATGGCTACATTTCCATCTGTTGTCAAAGCAAGAACATCCGATGTTAGCAGCGTTGACACTATAATCATATTCTGCTCTCTCACACACACAGTTTCTGTATCTTGGCAAAATCTGATAGTTGCCAAATATCCAGATTTCCAATAAATCTTTAAGTACTAGCAAAAAAGAAGGACTTATAAAATTTGGAGAAGAATCCTAGGGCTGGAGGCAAATCTGAAGTGAGTCAGAAACCAGAAATTCAGTGTGAAGTCCAAAAAGCAGATTCGGAGGGACGGAGGGCACAAATTATAAGGTCCACCAAGCCACCAAAATATCAGAAACCATCTTCTTTCTTAACAAAGTCACCCTAATGAAAGAAGGTGTCACTATAGAAGGTGCTTTATTCAGATGTTGTGATCCATCTCATCTCATCACATGGCATAATGGTCAATCTTCTCTACTGTCACATAAAAAGCTGCAGTCAAATGGTTCACAACATTTTTGAACATCTGGAAGATCACTCTTCCCTTTCTCACTTGTCTCCCATCCTGACACTTCTTACCATTTATGGTAAATTCCCATTTTGACTCTATTTGGTACAAAGGCAATAAGGGAGCAGAGGAATGATAAGACACTCAACTCTTTTTCCTCTCTTACAAAATGCCTCACTCCCTGCACTTGCTGGTGGCACCTGGTGTCCGAATATATTTGAATAGCATCAAGATGTGAAATGGCAACATTGATCAATTAAAGTAGTTGCTTCAGATCCCATTTTGTACTAAATAAGAGAAGTAGTCAAAGCCAAATGGCAAACGAGTCATATTCCAGCTTTTTCTGGTTGACTTCACAGGTGATGTCTTGCTCTACATGTGATCATTGTAAGCTCAGACAGAGACTTCTGTGGAACACGTCCTTTCTGTAAATGTGATTTCTGTGGCACGTATTTCATCAAATGGCCCAGGGGTTATAATTATGGGAAGACTTAAGTGGTTTTATGTTGCTTAATATTTCATATTGCTTTCTTCTGTAGCTCTTCCTGCCTAGTTTTTCTTCTTTGCTTATAATGCCTATTTATTGTAAGGCAGTGGTTCTCAACCTGTGGGTCGGGACCCCATTTGGGGTCGATCGACCATTTCATGGGGGTCGCCAAGCAAAGCTGTTTGCCATTTTTTTTTGTCCGCCATTTTTTTGTCCGCCATTTTTTTCCCCTTTTCCAGCGGGTGCCTTACCTCCCTTGGGCTGGGCCAGCTGGTGGTCGGCCTGCTCCATCTCTGCCGCTTGCCAGCTACTCCTCGGCCGGCGCAGGGGGCGGAACCACGCATGCGCGGCGCTCCCCGGCAGGGAAAGTCCTCGACTTACAACCGGTTGGGTAGTCCTCGACTTACAACCGTTTTAGTCCTCGACTTATGACAGGCTTAGTCCTCGACTTATGACCGGTTTAGTCCTCGACTTACGACCGGTTGGGGTCGCGGCATTAAAAAGGTTGAGAACCACTGTTGTAAGGTATTCTCATAACAAAGTTTTTTTTTCTTCTGTTCAATTGTACCTGATTCTGGGGGACTGCCTGGACATGTCTCTGCAGTTTTCTTGTCAAGGTTTGTCAGAGGTGTTTGCCATTGCCACCTTCCTAAGGCTGAAAGAAAGTGAGTAGCCCAAGATCACCCATCTAGCTTTGTGCCTAAAGTGGGACAAGAACTCACAGTCTCCTAGTTCCTAGCCTGATGCTTTAACCAGTGGCACTCCATAGTAAAGTAGTCTATAATAATTCTTTTCTGTCAAAGCTGCAAGAGTTAGAAGTAAGACCTTGTTGTTTGCAATGATGGGGCAAGCAAAAAGAATTTGATTAATATGCTCAAATGTTTAGCTGTTTGCATAGATATTTCCCCTATTTTTTCTATTATTATTGCTGTTTTAATATTGACTGTTGTGTTTAGCTATAGGGTTTTTTTATTTAACAATATAAAATTGTTTTTAAAAGCTATTATAGTCTTTTACCACAGTATTATTGTACCCCAAACATTCATTTAGCTTTTCTATGGAAAAAAGAAGGGAGCCTAGTATATATACTGTAGGGCAACGGTCCCCAACTTCTTTGCCACTTGGTGGCCTGGTTGGGGGGCAGAGGGAAACTGGGCCATATAAGTGGTGGGCCAGAGCTCATGCACGTAGCTTAGTTTGCATGAGCAGTGGGCTGGTAGGCAATCACACACATGCACACTGATCCACTAATGCAAGTCAAGTTGCATGCATGTACACTGGCCCACTGCTTGCGAGGCCGTGTTCCCCTCTGCTCCCACAACTGGGCCACCAAGTTGAAAGTGTTGGGGACTGCTGCTATAGGGAAAAACATGACTTGCCTACTTGCCAATTTCTCCTTCATCTAAGTGACTAGTGGGACCTAATTCACTAATAAAATGTTTCCTGCTTTCTAAATATAGTTATTTAAGAAAAGAACTCAAGTTGCAAATCTTTGTGTTGCTTCTTCCTGCAAATTTTTATCTAGTTTTGTTCAAGTTTTAGTTTTCATCTTGCTTTTGATGTTATTAAAAACAGGTCTGGCCATTTGCCCAGAGCACCTTATTATCAGTTTTGATGACATCCAATTAGATATTTGTAACAACAGCACTACTTTTATTATCATAATAAGAGGTTTATTGTTACCCACTCATTACAGCATTTCCAATTTTTAAAATCTGTTCCAGAAAAGGAGGAAGAGAAGCAACTTGGCAAAGAAACACTACTTCTGGAAAAAAATATACTGTGAAATATTACCCTGATGGATTAGTAACTCCACAATTGAGTTATTAACATTTTCGGATACCCATGAACTGATTTTTTAAAAACATTATTTGCCTACTAGAGAGGCCATATAAAATTTTCCAAAAATGACTGATTAAAAAAAATGAAAGTGAAAATACAAATTATGAGATAATACATTTAGGTTATGTACTTTTCGAACACTTGCATGGAAAAGAGACAAAATTGGTAAAGAAATAAAAAAGGATTGTGGGCTTTAGTATGTAGTACTTATTGTACTGTCACTGTATAAAGTACTCAAAAGGAATCTTTCTTCTAAAGATTAGGATAACAGTTGAAAAATTTTCCCCAAAGGAATGTGGCAAAATCCAGCATTCCCATAGCTTCCCAAACTATCAATGAGAGGACTTCAGGTTTTTCCAAACTAGGCACTCCAGACAGAGTGGCAGCCAAGGAAACTGCAGAACAGAAGAAATTTATTTTAAAACTAGCTGTACCCAGCCATGTGTTGCTGTGACTCAGTCTGGTAAAAGCGTGTGTTGCTTTTACGTCCAACAGATGGCGCTGTTTTCCAAAAAAGCATGTTTTTACCTGTCACAGGTGTGACATCTATATAATATAGGTATATAAAAACACGTGCATATTCAAATGCAATGTTGTGTCAAAATTTCAAAGCAATCGGTGAAGAACTTTCGGAGATTTAAGATTTTGAACAAACGAACATTTACATTTTTATTCATATAGATGAATCTCTGTTAAGGATTTTTTGTAAAGTCTTGGACAGATCTACTATTTATCATTGTATAGCCTAAAGGACACTTCCATGTGACTATCATGCACAGTACAAGTTTTCCAGTTGTGGGGTAAAGTGCAACTGAACCTCCTTTATCACATTTCATCAAATCATCACAATTCTCAAAATTTGAAAAGAAGTTCTTCTCATTTATTTGCATGAAGAACTTTGCAAAAAGTTAAAGTGTGTTCAGCACATTATTGTTATTATTGTTGTTGTTAGCCAGTCTCTCCAAAATACAGACCGAGCAACTTACAACATCTAATTATGCAATGAAAACAATCAAAATCATAAAACTAAAAACAACCAATTAATAAAAGCATGACCGAACCCCCACAAACACATTAACCCCAGCTTTGGGAACAAAGCCAGGCCTTGACTTCCAGAACCTCAAGGGAGTTGGTGCAATATGTATCTCTGGGGGATGCTGTTCTTGAAGGTGAGGGCAGCAATCCCTCAAAGTATGAGATATTTTGAATGAAATATTTTATACCTTTAGATTTTGGTCCACAGCTTTTTTCATATTTTTCAGCAAATGATTATTTGGACCACCTTCTCTCTCGTTGACATAGACAATTCTATCCAGATCAGGGAAATTTCGATTTAGGTCTATTCCCTGTGCATTACTTCGACCAACAAACCAATCTTTGAGTTCACCTGGCTAAAAAGAAGAAGAAAATATTATAAAACAACATGACATTTTATTATGAACTGTCAAGATGAATTTAGAGAAATGGCCCACTTAGTTCAATCATGTATGCTCAGGAGAAGTTCAAATACCAGAAACATA